CAATCAGTTTTTCTTTTTAAATAATTTTATTTTATCTATATATAAATAAATATATAGATAATAAATAAATTTGAAAACTATATAAAATAATAAACTAAAGAAAAAACTAAGAAAACTATATAAAACTATATTAAATACTAAACGATATAAATTCTAAAAATTTTAAAAATTTGTATTACCAACTATTAAAAAACAAATAAAAAAATTTTTAAACAAAAGTTAATAATTTTGAACAAGTTTAAAGAAATTATTTCTGAAAAAAAAATGATTCAAACATCATAATTAATATATTTGATGATTACAAGCATATATAATAATTCACAATAATTCCGTCTTTACAAAATAATCATCTAGATATTTGATAATCGTTTGTCTTGCAGATCAAACTCATCCAAGAGTACCCATCGCAATAGACAATAAACCAAATGAAATTTCTCCCTTTTATAAGCGCCACTATCGTTTTTGCGGCTTACGATTGCAAATTGAAACGAAGCCAAAACGAGTTATAAGGGGATGGAAAAGGAAGAAGATAGGGTGGAAGAGTGGTATTCGTAAACAAGAAGAAGAGAAATTGCGATAAAAAAAGGAGAACGCACAGACACATTGATCTTGTTACAGGAGGAACAATTTCGTGTTCGAACGTATACGCGATGGATATTGAAAAATGATAGGGACGACTAAGGGAAATGAAAAATGATATATATCCGTGGGAGTTACTTGCCAACATCTCTGCACTGATCTTTCTCGAGAAGATTGCACTGTACCACCCATCGTCTCGCGATAAGAGCAAGTTCGTCATCCCACATCTGTCAAAATAAATATCCCCATTAGATTCGAATACGAATGATTATTTTTATAGAAAATCCATTAAGTTTTACATGATGTTTCATTTTTATTAATAGTAATATGATATCAGTTGAAATGGATACAAATATATTTCTTTTATATGGAATAATAATTTTTTAATAAACACTAGAAATAATTGCTCAATAATATTTTAATGAATTTGAATTTATATTGATCAGTTTAATAATCAAAGAATATTTAAAATAATAATAATAAAGATATACATATATATTTAGATAAGAATAAAAATTGTATTAAACAAAAGCAGAAACAAAAGAGATTTATGAAATAAGAATCAGAAATAGCTGGATTTATATTTATAGACATGTGGGAAAGTTGATATTTTTTTAGATAATTCAATATCTGAATGATTTTTCATTTTTTTTCTTTTCTTTTCTTTTTTTATGGCCATAGGCATTATGATTTAATCTAAATTAAATCTTACCACTTCCATCATAAATTTTGCTGGACGTTGTGGACCTGGATTTCCTCGTATTTCTTTCCCACTTGCCACAGTATTGCGATAAGTATTGTGCCAATGGAGTATAGTTTCAATATCTTTGTCGTCCAGATCAGCATGCTGAAGGTTTATACATCTAATGCCATCAGTATCGAGCTAAGAAAATGACGTAAGAAGATGCCTATTGAAATTTTATTAGTAATTCAACATTAATAGGAATAATAATTATTTTAACAATATATATATATATATA